CATTTTAGCTGTTGCAAGGAATAAAATTGCTGATATGTTATCATATAATTCTTGTGATTAAGGTTTTAGTTGGTCCAGTTTTTGTATTGTTTTCTAAAATATTTTTTTAATATATATTTTTTTAAATTAGAAATTTTTATATTAGAAAATAATTGTAAGTTTCCCCAAACAAAACCTAAGTTCATATTTCTTGATGTAAGTATTTGAATTAAAAATTTTTAAATTAAATTTAAAAATGTTTTAATTTTAATTCTAATAAATTTATAATAAAAAAGTATATTTTGATGAGAAGAATCTAACAAACTCAATTTATAATTTTGTTGCCACTAAAACGCTTACATGCTTAAAAAATCAAAATTCACAACCAAAACTCTATGAGTAACCTTCATTTCATATATGGAATGGAGGTAGATTTGAGAGAATTTCAAAATTGAAGAATTCCGAATCTCTATCAACCAAACAATCAACACTGATAGATGTAGTCTTGATCCGACTCGGAGGTTTGAATTAACAAATTGGGAGCAAACGGTCAGATAGTAGAGTTTGAATTTTTGGTATATCACGTCTATGATACGTCTCATTTTGATCATATTAAATTATACCTGAAAATATTTGACTAACTAAAAATAAGATACATCTCAATGAGTAAAACATACTTTAAATTAAAATAATCCTAAGCAATTGAAAATAATATATAGATGAGCATTTCAATTCATATATAAGATAATTCCATGTCTTCACTAACTAACATTGAGGACCACTGATACATCTTCTCCAGTGGAGGAAAGGGTCTATTTTTTTTGTAACATTAATATCATATATCATTTGTTGCGTCCTAGAATTTCGCGGCGGTAGAGAAAATATATGTTTAACGTCTTAGCATTGTACGAAGATCCAGCACACAAGCAGATAAGTGAGGGGGTGAAACATTCATAAGAGACACCAGAGTTTTTACGTGGAAAACCCTTAAAAGGGGGAAAACCACGGGGCCTGGCCCAGTTTGAATGAATCCAACTAGTATTTGTAGTTGTTACAAATGAGGCTCTTCCTTGGGAGAAGGCCTTGATTGATGTAAACAATTGTAACATCATGCAGATTGCATTACATAGTAGGAATTACATATACATGTTTTGTCTGGTCGGAAGGACCGTAGTCGGCAGGAGACCGGGTCAGAAAGACCGTCGTCTGTTAATGTGGTCGAAAGGAACTATAGTAGGCGACGAAGGCCTAAAGGACCGTGGTCGGTAGGAGACTTGGGTCTGAAAGACCGTTGTAGTAGGCGGTACTTTGGTAGAACTCTGGACTCAGGTAGTGGCCCAGCAAAAGTCCATGCCTCAAATGTGTTCCGACAAAACAACGGCGTAAGTGGTAGTCTAGCAGAGGAGAGAGCCTTGGCGAAGATGAAGGGCCTCGGCGAAGGAGAGGGCCTCAGGTGAAGGTGAAGGCCTCAGATGTTGGTGAGGGCCTTTGACGAATGTGAGGGCTTCTGGAGATGATGAGGGCCTCAAGATGAAGACGTCAGGCCTGAAAGCGGGCTTGAGCAGAACGTTGGGCATGAATGTTCAGGCCTTTAGTAGCACGTCGGCCTGAACGTCGGGCCTTGAGATGGTGGTGCGGCGAAACTCTCGACGGTGGTCCGGCGAGGCCCGGCGGTGGTCCCGCGAGGTCCGGCGGTGTCCGCGAGGCTCCTGCGCGGGTCCGGCGGTGGTCGAGGAGGAGCTTCTTCCTTCCCTCCTCTTCTCCTCTTCCTTCTCTTCTTGCTTGAGTTCCCCTCTTGTGAAGAATGAGGGCTCTATTTATAGATTTTCTGGAGTGGCATGGCCCGTAATAGACGTGAAGATCAGGGGGTGAATAGGGAGTGGTCGAATGGACGGTCGATATTGAATCCTACAATCGTGCATCGTTCGTTGGACATTTGAAGGCCTTAATGATGTCGGATATCTGTGATCTTGGGCTCGTTGGACTCGTCTCGTCGAGCCGTTCGATTCGAGTATAAGTTTGTTAAAATCGGAGACCGTTTGGTAACTCAAATTGCGGTTTTAACCTTCCAATAGCGCTTCGGGTATGATTCGGACCATTTGGGCTCGGATTGGGTCGTATTGGTGTCGTTGGGTCGTATTTCCGAGATGCTCAGTTCGACTATAAGCTTGCTGAAATCAGAGTTTGGGTGCTCGCGAATTTAATTTTTGAAAAGTTTCCAACTAACTTTTGTCTCGAGATTCGTGCCCAATCAAGCTAATTTTGCATGACGTATCATCATATAAATAGACCTTTTAATTATGTCAAGGTCTACATATGTGATATATTATTACTAAACTCTCAAGATGTTTATTTAAAAACAAAAAGGGTCGAGAGGGAATATTCGCATTATTAATTGTATAGAAGATACATAGGTGCTTGTGACATATGCTGTGAAGATGCATCGGAGGCCTTGCCACATGTTTTCCATTCATTAAATGCTCCATATAAAATCTTAAAAGGATTATATTACATTGATGGCTGTCAGTTTCATGCGTTGCCAAATAGGTCACAAGCGAAGACGCCACGCTATCGGAATTGGACGAGTAAACGTCTTATATTCGAGCTTTTTTCCTTTGAATATTTTGGGCATTGATAGGAGGTATAGGTGGCTATCAGTTTTTATATTATTTATTTATGAGGAACGAGGTATTCATCCACTATCAAAAGAAAGCTTAGCGGCGTGATTAATCTTCAGTTGATCTAAAAGAGGCACCCATCTCAGAAACCTCCTAGCCCGCACTTGATTAGACCACACTTAAGAGGCGTTACTGCTCGAGGAGAATTGAGCACGAGTTGAAGGGTTCCCAACCGTACTCACCCACCAACCAGGGGCGGATCCAGCTTCTTTTTCAGGGGGGCCAAAAATATTTTTTTTTGTGAGGAAGGACAAGATGCTTAGGATTATAAAAATGAGGGCAAAAAAATTTTTTGAGAGGGGTAAATGCCAAAAATACCCAAAATATTCCAAGCAATCCCTCTAAAATAAAATTTTTTTTTTTTTTTTGAGGGGTAATAAATGGGGGTCCGCCCATGCCACCAACCAAGCTAAGCATTGGTGGGTGGTGGCTAGTAATAGCAGATATTTAGGATGAATAAAATATGATTAAAAATATATGTAATTTAATATAAAAAAAATAAAAAATTTTCTAAAATTTAACTAATTGTATTTATTAAAGGTGAGCAAAATAATTAAAATCACTACAGGAAAAGTGTCCATTACCGGCGGAGTTCCGGCGGAATTGGTTTCGACGATCTTTCGGCGTATTTCCGACGGGATTTAAAGGTTCAAATTTTTCCGACTATTTTCGACAGAATTTCCGACGGATTTTCCGGCGGATTTGTTTCCGGCAGAGTTTCCGACAGGAATTTCCGGCGGATTTAAAATTTATGGAAATAAATAATTTGATAAATTATTATACATTTTAATATAAATAAATAATTACTAATAACTTCAATAATTTATTTTTAAAGTGTTTTAAAATAATATAAAAAGTTACTAAATTAATAAATTAATATTATAAAATTTAATAACTTATTTTAATTATTTTTATTTAATAATTTTATTTAATAGTTAACTGAAATATTTAAATTGTTTTATTTTAAATAATTAAAATAAGTTTTTCTTATTATATAAATAAATATTTGATTTAAGACATTTTTACTCCTCGTCAAAGTGAGTTGTTCCACGCGTGTTCCTTGCGCGCCGAGGGGATAGTGCGGCCGTACCCTCTGCATTCGAACCCCCGCGAGCGGTGCTCCTTCGGAGGTCCACAGGCGGAAGTGGGACTTTGGCGTGGGTTCGAATCCACACGGGAGCTTCAAGCGCAGGCGGGGCGGTTCGCGCCCTCACAGGCCGGCAGCGGGAGGGCGCTTTGAAGCGGTTCAAGCGTTACCAACTCACGACTTTTAAGCTATGGAGGCACGGAAGAAGGACGAGAGGAAGGTAGGAAAGCTTAAGGTTATGTTTGTCACATAGTCCTAGACGGAATCGAGTAACAGCGGCTAGCTCTTTGGCGAGCGTGAGTCGGTTCACTCGGCAGGCGGGTCGGGTGGTTCACGCGGCAGGCGGGAAGGCAGGTCTGCATTACACATTGAATTTTTTTTTTGGAATTTCAGCGTATTAACATTTTGACGGATTAATATTTTTCCAGCGGAAATTTCGTCGGAAATCCGCCGGAAACATTTTCGGCGGATTATTTTACGCCGGAAGTCCTTTTACGACGCGAACCAATCCGGCGCACGAAATTCTGCCAGAAAGTGCGCCGGAAACCCAGTTTTCCGTCGGATTTCACATGTTACCGGCGGATATAATCTGCCGGTAATAGCGGGTTTTCCTGTAGTGAATATTTATTTAAAAAAAAAATAGAATGAGCAATTATTCATCCTGAGCTCTTCTTGATTTCTTCCTTGGTGGCTAATGGTTAAATCACAAAATAAATCCATGCTTAATAACCGTATTTAATGAAACAATTGCTGAGACTGAGTATATTCCAAGTCAAAATATTTAAAAGATGAGATTTTTACAGCTAGAAGGTCATCTCCAACCGAACTCCATACCCATGTTTTGCATCTGCAATCTGCTTCAATTGAACGGCAAAATGCGATCCATTTTTGTGTTTGTGAACAGGGCGACGAAAACTATTCGCAGACACAATTTTTTGACAGAAACAGAGAAAGTGGAGGAGGATAAGGGCTAGCGCGTGTGGAGTTCAGTTGAAAAAGAATACACATGGAATATTCTTTTTTGGTGTTAAGAAATAGAGTTTGATTGTAGATAATTTATAGTATTTTGAAGTGTTATTATATTTTGAAGTGGAAAATGAATTTTTTCGTTAGAGATGTCTTAAGCGTTATAATTGAAAAAAAAAAAATTCTTAATTTTTTTTTATTAAAAGTATTTCACGTGTCTTGAGTTAAATGTCCTGAATGCGTTTATATACATTGCACTGGTCAAGCAAGGGCCAGCTGTGGTCCTTCCAACCATCGCGGCGGAGCATCCTAAGGCGGAGCTCCCGACTCCCCTCCATTTACGCAACGTGTCTCCACCCCTTCTCCTCTTCCCTTGCTCTCCCTCTCCTCTCAAATAATATCTCCCCGGCGAGGTCAAGAACTTTCTGCCAGGTGTACGGTCTTCCTTGACACTTGTCCGTAATGATCTCTTCGTTTTCACCTACCTCTTCCTGTATTATAAATACGTGAAGACCACCCTGCATGCTTATCAACCGTTCATATTCTTCATTAATCCTCATTCTTCTCTTATCTTCTTCTTGTTCTCTCTCTCTCTCTCTCTCTCTCTCTCTCTCTCTCTCTCTCTCCTTTTGTTCTTCTTTTCTGTTTAGATCGAGAACGCAGGTTTTACAGAGTTTGAGATGGGCACAGAGATGAAAATTGAGAGGAAATCTTCCATAGATAAAGAACCGCAAACTTTATTTTTTGATCAGATACAGTACGCGAGGGTATGATTCTTTGTGGTTAATTGGTTTTTCTAATTGTTTTTCTCTGTCATGCTTTGTATAAATCAATTACTTTAATATGAATGTAATTGATAAACGAAAAATTGGCTTATTAATTAGATTTTTTTGATGACAGGAAGCAGCTTTATATGTGCTCAGCACCAAGACAATGGAGGAAGCTTTAAGGATTTTCACTGAGGTGAGCTTTTAGCTTTTCATTAATTTGAAGATTGAAATTTATTCTTCTTGTGATTGTTCTTGTGGCCGTGAGGTAGAGATCTAGACCGGCTAATAGATCTTTTTTGTGTTTTCACTTAGCTTGTATTTTTTGCTTATTTGTTTCAGCATGTGAAGCTTATTGATTGATCACTGAAGCATGATCTGTAGTTTTTTTTTTTTTTTAACAATTTTCTCTGTAGGAATTTAGCACTTTGATTTTCATAATTTTTAATAATCGATAGATGTTACTAATGAGTATTGAAAAAGAAAAGGAAAGAAAAATTATATTAGGATATGCAATTTAGTATTCATTTGGGAAAGCTTTTTTCTTACTTTTTAAAACAACTTTTTTATATAAAGAGTACTAGAAAGCTGCTTTAAGAAGCATAAAAAAGCTGTCCCAAACAAAATCTTATGATATTTCTAGAATAGCTTTCTATCCGTTTGTTTTTCAGATAGCAATCACAATTTTATATGATTCTTGATTTTTTCTTATTTTCTCATTATTTTTTAAAAATTCTTATAATTGAAAGCTATTTTTTACAATCATAATAAGTTAATTATTTTCTCTATAATAACTTGAAAATTAATTTTATAAACACTGAAGTCATCTCAAACATATCCTCAATTTCTGGTTCAATATTTGACATTTGTTATAATTCTCTTATATTTAAATGTTATAAATTAAGTTATTTTTATTTTTTAAATAATAGAAAAAAGGAATAATTATTTTAAAATATACAATGAATAATAAGACATTTAATATAAATTATGAGCATTATATATGATAAATTTATTGAGCAGATAAGTAGATATTTTGATTAAAAAATTATATATATATTATTGTTTATAAAACTTTGATAAAAAAAATATTAAAGAATTATAAATAGATTAAATTTTTAATTTTATTTCTAATTAAAACTTCGTTGGAAGTGTCATTAACTAAAATACGAGGAAATTGGATGGTTGCGATTTAGCAAGACTTGTTAGAAAATCTAATTTTGTTGATTAGGATATTTTAATATAAATTATAAATTTATTTTTTTGGAAAATAAATATGCAGGTAGTTCATTTTTTTATTTTATGGAAAAATCTTATATGTTTTTTTTTTAAATATCCAAAATTTGTAATATGTTATCGTTTATAAAATTCATGATTCATCATATAACTCAATTAGAATTTTTTATGATCATGATTAGGGTTTGCAACCAGTGATTATTGCTGAGGGCAAGATCAACTTCGACGATAAAGATTTATCAGACTTCATCGATGAGCATAACAACTTTCTTCTCCTCGAAAGATTCCGTGACATTGACTCTGCACCTTTCTAGTGAAGTTGGTAAATGAGTTGGACCGATTACACTGCAAATTGGGCTTCACTTGCTAATATTAAGGCTTCATTCGAGATAGCTTTTTTATTACTTTTAAAGTATTTTTTTAGTACTAAAAAATTATTTTAAAAAGCAGTAAGAAATCTGTCCCAAATGATGATCACGTGCAGCTTGAAGTCAAGTTGAGCTTAATGTATATGATAATGTTTCACTTGTTTGGATTTTGTGTGAGCAAATAGCTTGTAATGGACTTGCTTGTACTTTAAATGAGCTAATAAGCAAGCTAGAAAATGAATGAATGTTTGGCTTCTTACATTAGTAGCGCCTAAAATAACCCAAAAAAAAAAAAAAGCAGTAGAAACATGTCGTGGGAGAACTCTGAAAAATGATTGTATCACTTTAATCTCATAAAAAGTAATATAATTTATTAAGGCTTCATTTGGAACAGTTTTACTTTTTTTTTTTTAAGTAAATTTTTAGTATAAAATTTTTTTGGTTCTAAAAAGTTGATTTAGAAATCATAAACAAATTGTCTCGAGATGAAATCTAAGGTTTTATTTGAGATAGCTTTAGATCATTATTTTTTTTTGCTTTCAAAATATTTTTATATAAAAAATAGCTTTGTAAAGCTATAAGAAAGTTGTCCTAAGTGAAGCTTAAAATTAGATGATGCAAATGTTCCTCATTTGATAAGAGCCAAACATAGTTAAATTATTCAATGCAGACACTGGACATCGTCCAGAGGCCAAGCAGAACACGTCATTTTACTTTTTTGCTCTATATCGATGCTGGTACGGCTGGGTATCGCGTGATGTTGCACATTTTAGTTGGCCTCTGAACCTGTGCCTAGGAATGTTAACTTGTATTAAATAATTTAATATTTTTAAACACTGGAAGGTAAATTTCCCCACCCCCTCCCCCCATCTCGAAAGGTTTTAAAATATTATGGTCTTTAAACAATTACCTCTAGCATAATAAAATATATTGTATAGAAGAGTTATTGTTAGGGAAAGAAGAACCAAATACAAAGAAAAATAGTAAAGAGAATTCATCATTTTATTTATTAATTTGAATTCTAAAAATATCCTTACAATAAAAATTTGTTTCGGGGGCGCTTCCCTCTTTAACACTCGACATATTTGTGAAACGTACGACGATCAAGGATATAGTTAAGGCGCTGCAAATACAGTTCTTGACAAGAGAGATGATGCAAGAACAAAGTGAAGCTGAGGAAAGAATACAGGAGAAAATAATATTGTGTACCACTAATTACATTACATGAGTACTCAAAGACATATATGGGAGCAAGACATTTATCAAGAAGGATTGATCTTTATTGGACCATATAGAGGAGACAGGTCAGCACATGACCTGCTGACGTATACATATACACTAACAGCCTACTGCAAATTAATCATTCTGTGAGCGAATGGTTAATTTGGACATGAGGTCACATAACTGGTTTGTGGAGTGTGATTTTGTGAGAACATTAGCAAGTTGATCGGTGGATCGGAGCTAACGTGTGCTGACGTGACTGATGTTGATAACTCTTTGTTTGATGTGTCCGCTGATTAAGCGATAGTAAATTTCGATGTACTTAGTCCGGGTGTGGAATACTAAATTATTATCGAGGGCAATTGCCGAGGTATTATCGCAAAAAATGGGTGTCAGAGAGGTTTGAAGAATGTGAAATTTTTCTACTAAACGGTGAAGCCAAATGATGTCGGAGGTGGCAAAGGAAAATGATTCATACTCAGCTTCTGTTGAGGATTTTGCCATAGTTGTTTGTTTCTTGACGAATCACAAAACGAGATTGGGTCCAAGAAATATGCAAAATCCTGTTATGGATTTTCGGTCCGTCGAATCAACTGCCTAGTCGACGTCGATATATGTGTGAAGTTGGAGATACTAATTGTGATTGGTAGGCCAAAGTTGATGGTTCCTTTGATGTACCTTAGTAGGCGCTTGAGAGCATGATAGTCACTGTTGCGTGGTTGATGCATTCACTAGAAAATAGAGTTTGTTGCAAAAGTGATATCTAGTCAAGTGACCTAGAGGTACCGTAATGAGCCAGCAAGCTTGCATAATGAATGCAGGTCAGAGTATGGCTAATCATTCGAGTTGCACGTGGACCATTTCAAGCCTATCTGTGTCGTGAAGGGTTTACATTCAGAAAAAACTGTAGTTTGAAGGAGTTCACGTGCATAGTACTACTGATGCAGAAAGTATCCATTTGAGATTTGGATGACATGTATGCCGAGGAAGAGAGAAACATCGTTGAGCTGCTTGAGGCTTAACTTGGATTGTAACTATTGCAATACACATTAAATTTTGTTAGAGTTATTCTCTGTGACAAGTATGTCATCCACATAGACGAGGATGAATAGTTGAGTACTATTATATTGATTGTATATTAGTAGGAAAGGATTAGCTTTGCTGAATGAAAAACCGAAAGATAAAAAAAAATGGTGAATTTTTTAAACCATTGTTGTGGAGACTGTTTTAACCCGTAAATGGATTTGTGCAACATATAGACATGGTGAGATCGTCTAGTCCTCAAAGCTGATGGGTTGTTTCATGTAAACTTCATAATACAGTTCACCATGTAAGAAGGTGTTTGACATGTCAAGTTAAGTGACATACCACTGGTTAGGGCTGTCAATATATGACACGACCCGAAAACCCGACTCGATTTTTTCGTGTTCGGGTCAACCCGAACCCGAAACGGGTCGGGTTCGGGTTCAGTTTTTTGACCCGTTTTAAATTTCGGGTCGGGTCCGGGTTGACCCGGAATTAACCCGCTTCGAGCCCGACCCGCGCTGTCCGCTCCTCTTGAGTTATCAAATGTCGTCGTGATTCGTGCGAGTGCGATTTATATGTTAGGGCTCATTTAGGACAGCGGAGTGCAGCCGCGTTCATTTCATTTCCTTTTCCGCCTCCTTCAGTCCTTCCTCCTTTGTCTTCGTCTCTTCATTGCTTCGGTGCTTCGTGTGTTGCTGGCTTCTTGCCTGGCCTCCTCCTTCACGGAGCTTCTCAGTTCTCTCCTCGTCGGTGTCATCGTCTATTCCTCTATTAGTATATTTTTTAATCTTCTTCTTGCTCGAAGTTCGAAGGATCGAAGCTTTTCAGTTTGTTCCTTCTTGCTAATTAATTTGTTGCTATCATTTTAAAGTTATCTTGGTTAATGGTTAGTTGGTTGAAGTATCATCCTTGTTCGGTTATTTCTTCTGATTTAAGGTGTTATGCAATTTTTCTTTTGATTTGTCGATTAGGGCTTAGCCGCTTAGGGTTTGAAATATTACTATTGAACGTTTTTTTGGGTTGCATGGCAGTATGGCACTTTGGACTGTCGGTTTAATTATTATTGGCTTAGGGTTTATTGTTTCCTGTTGGTGCTGCACTGCTGCCTTTTGAAATTATTTGTTTCTGCCTTTTTGGACTACGATTCAGTTAGTCTTGCACTCTGTTACTCTGTGACTGTTAGTATGGCACACTTTGTTACTCTGTTAGCATGACACTTTGTTACTCTGTTAGTATGAAACTTTGTTAGTTGTTACTCTCATACTCTGTTAGTCTGTTACTGAGTAAATCATGTAGTTTGCTGGCTGCAGCTGCAAGAAGTTGGTATTCGGCTAGGATGTTCTTACTTCTTACTTCTTTAGCTCTTTCATATTAAATTTATAAATAATTTATGATATTTGGCTATGGACTTTTTGCTATCATGCTATGTATAATATGGATTAAATCCTTTAATTGGTTTATTAGATGGAGGATTCAAACACACTTCCGGAACATTTTATTGATGAGAATGAGGAAGTTGACATTGAAGGCTGGACTGTTGTCTGCTGGAGCCTGGAGAGTGGAGAGTTGAGGCTGGACTGTTGGAACCTTTGTGTTTGTAAAGTGTCATTTGTAATTGTAATTGTAAGTTTGTGTTATTTGTAGATTTGTAATTGTAAAAAATTGTGAAATGTAAAAGTTTTAATTGTAAATGTAACTATGTAATCACTAATCAGTAAATTGTAGATTTGTAATTGTAAGATAGAGTCTGATGGTTTGTTGTTTTCCTATTTGGGATTGAGAAATGTAAGTGAATAAACTATTTTTTTTGTAAAAAATTCATATTTCCTGATGATTGTCAATTTAAAACCTGTTTTAAATTTTTTATAGTGCAGACGGATCAAACGGGTCGGGTCGGGTTGACCCGGACTCGAAGCGGGTCGGGTCCGGGTCAGCATAAATGACCTGTTTCACGAAACGGGTCGGGTTCGGGTTGACCCGAAAGAGGTCGGGTCAATTTCGGGTTGGACCCGAACCCGACCCGTAACCCGTTTTTTGACAGCCCTACCACTGGTTGTGAAGGGCCACTATGAGGAGAATGCAAATATGTCACCATCTTGGCTACATGGTTGAATATTTTAGTGTAGTTGATGCCAAATTCCTGAGATCATCCATGTGTGAACAAGTGAGCCTTGTGTCTAGAAACTTGACCATTGAGTTGGAGCTTTGTTTTGAATTTCCATTTGCAGTCGAGGATGGGTTTGTCTGGCGGTGGTGGAACTAGAGACCAGGTTCCTTATTTTTGTAAAGCGAGGAATTCTGAAGACATAGTGGATTTCCAGTGTATGTGTTTTGCGGCTTGAGAGTAGGAAGTGGGGGTGGGTTCAGGATGAGAGACAACCGATAGATCAAATATTTGCTTGGGCTTGGATATGCCAGATTTTAATCGGGTATGTATATGGCGAGTTTGATTGTTTTGGGTTTGAGTAATGGGTGATTCTATTCAGGGGAAGTGATTGGTGGGAATGAGTGGAGGAGTGGGAAGTGTAGGAGGAGAGGCAAGCAAAGATGAAGACGAGATTTGAAATGATATAGAATTAGAGGAGGACGGTGGGTCTTGGAGATAGTGGATGAAGGAATGAGTAGCAGAGGGGAGTAAACAGTGTTGGATGGTTGAGGAGGGTGATGTGTTGGTGTAGAGTGAAATGGAAAGTGATTATCATAGAAGATGATGTGTCTTGATATGTAAACTAAATTGGTTATGATATTGAGACATTGATAGCCTTTGTGCTATATGGAATAGCCTAGAAATATGCATTCCTGGGAGCGAGGCGAGAGTTTGATTGGGGCTTAGGGTTGGAGCCAAGGAAAACATAAGCACCTAAAGGTGCACAAGTGATTATAGGCTGTAGGATGACTGTGTAACTTGGAGTAGGGAGTTTGATTAGAGATAGTTATGGACGATAATCAATTAATTAGGTAGTTTGTCGTAGATGTAGCTTCGACCCAAAAGGAGTTTGGAAGATGAGCGGCGTGAAGGAGCATTCGAGTGAGGTTTAGGAGATAATAATGCTTCCATTCTGGTAGGCCATTTTGCTCAGGCATGTAGGGTCAGCTGATTTGGTGAGTGATGCCATTGTTGAGAAGATAGTTATGGAATGCATTGCTAATGAATTCCCCACCTCCATCCGATTGGAACGTCCGAATATGACTGCTGAATTTATTTTGACTAAATTATAGAGGTGTTGAAGTTTTGTAAAAGTCTCTTGTTTGGAATGCATTAGATAAAGCCAAAAAAATTTTGTAAAATTGTCAATGAAAATGACATCATATTTAAATCCATTTAGCGATAATTAAGGATCCAGACCCCCATATGTCCGAATGAACAAATTTGAATGATTTATTACACGAAGAAAGACTATTGGAAAACTGTAATTTTTGGCTTTTTAGCCACGTTACAAGAAATGCATACATTTAAATAATGAGATGATTTACATTATTCCAGGATGTATTCAGCTGAAATGGGAAGAAGATACGAGTGAAAATGACCAAGACAAGCATGCCACAGTGAGGTGGACGTGTTTGTGGCCTGGAGAGCAATGAGATTGTTGCTGGAGGGAGTTCTAATTTGATACAGACCATTGCGATTGTGATCGCGGAGAAGCGGCTGGTTGTCCTGAAGATCCTTAATAACAAAACCATTAGCGTTAAAACAAATTATGGAAACATTATTATCAAAGGTTTTTTTAGAGATGGATAACAGATTGCAAGAGAGAGATGGAACATGCAGAATGTTACGAAGATGAAGCTTACGAATAGAGTTAGGTAAGGGTAGAGTGCCTTGACCCAAATTCTGATTTGGTAACGTTCTGCCATTGGCAATTGAGACAGAGTCTAAGCCGTTGTATGGAGTCGGAAGTTGAATGTTGGATGTGTCCGACGTTAAGTGTAAAGACGCGCCTGAGTCTAGTACCCAATCTCTAGTTGATAAGTTTTATTGTTGAACCGTGAGATCTCTAGGATTTGAGGGAGGAGCGTAAGTCAGGTTACATATGTGCCAGCAGTTTAGCGCGAAATGCCCTGATTATTCGCAGATTTGGCAAGTACGTTTGTTCGTGGAAGCTTGTTCAGGAGAGGAAGAATTGGGGTGAAATGGCAGATGAAAGGTGGAGCCACGTCCGCGGGATTTGTTGAATCTTCCGCGAGTGATAGAGTTACAATTTGAGAGAAGAGCAACGGCGTTTGAATGGCTGGGTTTCTTTAAGTTGTTTGTGCTTGAGATTAATCTCTTCTTTGCATAAGAGGGAGTAAAGGATGTCTAAGCTAATCAGACTAATAGAGGTTCTTATGGCAGTCTTGAAAGGATTGTAAATGGTGGGAAAGCCATTTAGGATGTATAATATGATGTCTTCGACGTCCACGATTGAGCCGGCGGCGGCAATGTTATCGATGAGTATTTTTATTTGGGCAAGATATTGTTGCAGTGTGCGATCCTTCATTTGTATATAGTGTAGCTCATTCTTGAGCTGAATGATGCGGGATCTATTTGTGGGTTGTAGTCTTTTCTCGAGTGTGATCCAAACCTCGTGGGCTGTGGTGAGGGTGATGACATACAAAAGAACTGACAGAGATATTGTGGAGAAAAGGGAGGAGATGAAGTTGCGGTCAATGAGCATCTAAAGATTATGCTCCATGGGTGAAGTTTTCGATGGACAAGGAGGGATACCGGTGAGATGTCTGTTGAAGCCGCTTGCCGAGAAATGTTGATAGAGTTGTAGTCGCCAAATTGCATAGTTTGCATTTGTAAGTTGTGTAGGGATGAGATTCTTGATGTTAGATATGAGAAATTTGAGAGATGCGGGAACAGTGAATTCAACGAGAGATGTCGAGAGACTTGAGTTCGTCGGAGGTGAGGACGCTGAGTCCTGGTCAGCCATTAAGATCAACGTAGATGTTGAGCCAGATGAGCTCTGATACCAAAATAGAGTTTTTGACAAAAGACTTAATTCAAGAAGAATGAGTTGATGAGGAAAGAATACATGAGAAAATAATATTGTACATAGGGGTGTCAATATTTGACACGACCCGAAAACCCGACCCGAACCCGACCCGAAAATTTCAGGTTAGGGTCAACCCGAACCCGAAACGGGTCGGGTTCGGGTTCAACATTTCGACCCGTTTCAAAAATCGGGTCGGGTTCGGGTTAACCCTTTGACCCGAAATTGACCCGAAAGTGACCCGAAAACCCGATTTTGACCCGCTTTTGACCCGCCAACCCGAGATTGACCCGACTTTGACCCGATTTTGATCCGAAAAGAGGAGATTGACCCGTTTTGACCCGAAAATTAGTAATTTTTTGGTTGAAAACGGGTCATTCGGGTCGGTTATCGATGAGTATTTTTATTTGGGCAAGATATTGTTGCAGTCTGCGATCCTTCATTTGTATCTAGTGTAGCTCATTCTTGAGCTGAATGATGCGGGATCTGTTTGTGGGTTGTAGTCTTTTCTCGAGTGTGATCCAGACCTCGTGGGCTGTGGTGAGGGTGATGACATACAAAAGAACTGACAGAGATATTGTGGAGAGAAGGGAGGAGATGAAGTTGCGGTCAATGAGCATCCAAAGATTATACTCCATGGGTGAAGTTTTCGGTGGACAAGGAGGGATATTGATGAGATGTCCGTTGAAGCCGCTTGCCGAGAAATGTTGATAGAGTTGTAGTCGCCAAATTGCATAGTTTGCATTTGTAAGTT